CACGCTGCCGCTCTCCCCAGTCAGGATGGACTGCAGGGGAAGGGCAGGCGCCAGGCAGACGCGGCCAGAAGTTGTGGGTTGGTGGTGGCGGAGGGGGAGCTGTTTGTGGTGATAGCATGGCGGAAGCGGTGTGTGCGTGTGTGGCAGGCAGCCCGCCGGTGCCGCGCCCTGGGCTGCCTGCCCCGCGCGAGCCTCGGGCGCCCACCCGCTTGCCACTCCGCACCGTACCAACCGACAGCCCGTGCCAGCCACCAGCCTGCCAGCCACCCTGCCAGCCACTCTGCCACCCACCCTGCCCCCCACCAGCCTGCCATCAACCCTCCACCCAGGCCCCACCTGGTCGATGCGTAGCGTGCTGCTGAGCAGCTCGGTGACGCGCGTGTCTGCGGGCACCTTGCCGCCCACCCCCACCTCCACAATGTCCCCCGGCACCAGCTCTGCAACCAGGAAGGGCAGGCGGCAGGACGGGTGGAAGAGGGCGGCAGGATGGGGCCGGGCATGGGGCGGCGGAGGCAGGCGGTGGGTCCCGGGGCCACATGCGGCACGCCCGCAGCCCGCCGTGCAGGGCGGTGCAATGTGGACGGCAGCGATGCCCATCTCACCACCACCACCACCACCGCCGCCGCCGCCGCCACCGCCACCGCCGCCACCACCGCCACCACCACCACTGCCACCACCTCCGTCGCCGCTCCCACCTGCCGCGGGCAACACCGTCCAGCGCCCGTCCCGCAGCACTGTGGCCACATCCGCCTCATACGCCTTGAGCTCCTCTATAGCCTTTTCGGCGTTGGTCTCTGTGACCACGCCCACCGTCGCTGCAGGCAGGGCGCAGGAGCGGGGGCAGGCCAGGCCGTGGACGCTCGGCTGCAAGACGCTGGGCAGGGCCATGCAGCGCACTGCTCACATGGGCACACACGCCACCCACAACCAGCCACCACCACCAATCTCTGAACTGATCTATCCCACCACCACGAAACCCTACACCTGGCAGGCTCTCTACGCAGCCACTCCAAGCCCGCACACCACCACACCGAGCCAGTCAGCCACCCAGGGCCTCACCATTAGCCACGAGGATCAGCATGATGACAGAGGGCTCCACAAAGGCGCCAAACCCGCTCTCCCCGCTGGCCAGCGCAATCACCAGGTCCACCACCGCAGCCACTATCAGGATCTGCACAGCGATGGGCAGCCAGCAGGAACGTCGCACCGGGTGCAGATGGCTGGGGTGGGCGGAGGGCAGAGGCAGGAGGTCCCAAGGCGGCGGCCAAACCGCGCGGCAGCGGCGGCGACGCATGGAAAGGGCCAGGTGGAGGCGGCAGCTAGCCAGCTGCCTGCCGCCCTCAGGGCGCGCACCTTGACAAGCAGGTCGTCAAACTGCTTCAGCACCAGCTTCCAAAATGGGGTGCCTGCAGCGCAGGCATTGTCCAGCCAAACAGCAGCCCAGAGGTGGTTGGCAGCCGCGGTGCGCCGTGTGCGGCGAAGGCGAGGACGGCGGCAGGCCGGGGATGCCTGTTTTGGCCCCATGCAGCAGCTCCTGCGCGCTGCCCTAATCCAGGGCATCTCGGCAGCTGCCTGAGCCGCCGCACCTGGCTCTGGCGCGAGCTCGTTGCAGCCGTGCCGCCGCCGCGCCTCGGCCACCTGCGCCGCCGACAGGCCCTGGCGGGGGTCTGTCCGGTAGTGCGCCAGCACCTGCGCGTGAGGGGAGCGAAGCAGGATCGAAACGGCGCGCAGAGGGGCCAGGCGGAGCGGGAGCGGCAGCTGGGGGAGGTCCGATCGGCGGCAGTGGCACGGAAGGCCAACCTCGTCTGCAGATCGCGCATACGCGCTGTCCAAAACCATCTCGCTCGGCAACGCTTCCCTCAGCCGACAGCTCCCCGCCAATTAGGCTCGCATTCTACGTGCGCTGCGGCTGGGGCGGTGAGCACGCGATCCTGGACCGCACCAAATCCAAGAGAGCCAAAACATCGGCTCGCAGGTGAGAAGGATTGGGCAGCCGCCAGCTGGCGGGGCCTCCGATGCCCGACTTTGTGCAGGGCGCATGCGGCATCAGTGTACATCACATGCACTCCACCATATGCAGTTGGTTGCCATTTTTTCATGACAGCAAAGGGAATAGAGCTGGATCTAGGTTGGCTTCCCTACAGGGAAACAACTCGCGGCGTGTGCTGCACTGGCGGCGGCGCCAGCTGGCTGCCGGCGCCGGGTGTACTTCACTGCTTTGCTCGACAGTGATGTGGGCATGCCCTGAACTCGAGACCTGCTGCAGCATAGTGTGATGCCTGTCCCCTGCGAAAAGCAGTCAATGCCGGCGTCATGGCGCCGTCGGCGACCGGGGTCGGCAGTCGGCGGCAGGCCTCTCTCTGCCGGCCAAACTCTTGCATGCACGTGTTCAAGCACGCAGCACCACCAACCACCCTCAGCTAGGCGACGCGAAAGCGGCCCTCTCCGCCTCACTGAGTCACCCAGCTGCCCTGCGGTCTTCCTCTCCTGCTGAGGCCCGTTTCAGCCCTCCCAGCGCCACCCTGCCACACACTGGCCCTCCAAGGCTTCCCAGTGACTCAGCAGCGTGAATCTGTCTTGCGAGGCCCAGGCAGCAGTCCCGGCCGTGCAGCCAGCCCAGAGCACGGCTTTGACCGCCCTGCCTCGCCAGGCTGAGCCCAGAGGTAGGCAGGCGCCGCGGCCGGCTAGGTGGAGGCAGGAGCTCCCCAGGCAACGTCCGCTGCACAGCTGGGCGGCGAGGCGGTCCTGCGGCGGCGGCCGCGGCCGCCGGCCGAGCCGACTTTCCAGCCTGGGGGCCGCTCTGCTCGCTGCCCACCCATCATTCATTGCGCAGGGGGGCTCCCCTACGACACAGCTGGACTTGTGACTGGACCGGGCTCGCCCCGTTGGCTGCCCCGTTGGCCGCTCATGGCGGCTCTGCCGCCCTCCCGTGCCGCCGCAGACGAAGCGCTCGCCCCCTCCCAGCCGCAACCAGCAGCCAGTATGGCCAGCATCCACACCCCCTTTGCTGCCCACAGCAGCGCGCCAGCCGCGGAGGAGCCCCCGGCGGCGACCGCCGCCCCCGCGGGCGCCGC